ACAGAAGCTTCTGTGTTTGCTTTGTTCACATACAGCACACTTTAATTTGTCTACTATTTATAAAAGCAACATTGAATTATTTTGTCACATTTACTTCACCCATATTATTGTTATCAGGGAGACTAAATTCTGAATGTCTTCCAGTCTTCTATAGAGAACTTTCATACTTAGGGTATTAACAAGTGTATTGTCCCGCAGAGCGTATATCCTTAGCCACTACACACCAAAGCAGATCCTGTTTCTTTTGATATTGATATTGTTACTGATTCAAAGCAACATCTCAAAAGCAATGCATATATGAAATAGGATAAAAGAAGAGAATTGGCAATAGTATAGGCATACCTCGGAGATATTGCGGGTTTGGTTCCAGACCACCGCAATAAAGCAAATATTGCAATAAAGCGAGTCACACAAATTTTTTGGTTTCCCAGTGCATATAAAAGTTATGTTTACACTATACTGTAGTCTATTAAGTGTGCAATAGCATTATGTCTAAAAAAACAATGTACATACCTTAATTAAAAAATACTTTATTGCTAAAAAATGCTAACCATCATCTGAGCCTTCAGCGAGTCGTAATCTTTTTGCTGGTGGAGGGTCTTGCCTCGATGTTGATGGCTGCTGACTGATCAGGGTGGTGGTTGCTGAAGGTTGGGGTGGCTGTGGCAATTTCTTAAAATAAGACAACAATGAAGGTTGCCACAAACCTTCAATTTGTAAAAAACGCAATATCTGCGAAGAGCAATAAAGCGAAGCGCAATAAAACGAGGTATGCCTGTACTCTGAAAAAAAGATTTCTAAAATTAAAATAAACAAGAAAAATTCAGAAACCTGCCAATTCACATTAATACTTACAATAAATGACAATTATTCATGGGCAATATTACCATTACGTAGCTTTTATATAGTGCTTTGTCTTTTTGGAGCACTGGATAAATTGTACGGATGTTAACTAAATTATCTGTAAGGGTCTATCCTGAAAAGCTATGTCTGGTAAGGGACAGGTGTGGTGGGGGGAGGTAAAAACGCAATCCTAAATTCCTACCATTCTCACTCTTTTCTTTTGGGAAAGAACTGGCCAGCATACTCTCATGGGGTGGAAAATATCACCCTTAAACAGGCAGAAGGCTAGTTGCCAGGTGTCCAGAGTTCTATTGGAGGGAAAAGTTTTTAGATCAAAACTAAGTTAGAAGATTGGCCTGGAGTCAACAGGATGATTCTAGGTCAATGAGATGGGCAACTGAGCAGGAATTTCTGCTTGGTATATGAGAGAGAAGACACTGTCAGGTAGCCATTGGAAAAAGAGGGCAAGACACAGCTGCTTGGAATCAGGAGGATAATCTACCATGTGACTTTTGTGCTTATGGGATCTGACATAGCTCCATCCAAAAAAATCAGACACCAACAATCTCAGTTTACGTTTCTCTACAGCTTCACAAACCACACTGAGGTTGGATCAGATAACAGAGTAGCAGGTTGCACTACTGATTGGGTTAAAAAGCATTCCTTTGTGTGAAACTAAATACTATATATTATCATGTGGGAAGATACCTGCATAACTTTCATGAAGTCTCTCCCCCCTGAATACAGGTCACCCTTGTGAAATAAAAATATTGTGCTATTGTTGAGTGGTGACTCCCTCTGCAGTTGATCTTAACCTCTTCAAAAGGTGGTAGGGGTCTGAGTTCAGTCAGTCTCAAGACTGGGGATTGGGGGTCTCTTTTACTAATTCCTGGAGGTCTGCCATACCTTTGTGATGTGCAGGAGTAAGTATTATTATTCTCATTTTATAAATGAGAAAAAAAGGAAGGTGCCATAACTTACTGCCAGAACTGGAATTTAGAACCCTCCGGGCATGTCTACATGAGACGTTTTACTGTACACTAGACTGATCTACTGTGCAGTAAGGTGTCACCATATAACCATGTGCAGCAGCTACTGTGCAGTAAATTAGGCTAATGATCAGTTTTCTACTACCTGTCTTTACCTTAAATTTGGTACTTCTTTATGCTAATCAATAAGATACACTATGTCTTCACTTTAGCAATTAAAAATCTTAACAGCCAATTATTCATATCTTAATTTTTCAATTCCTATTATATTAATAACTTGTGACTGACATTTCTTATTTATAGGGGTGCACCAATAGAGATTTTTGGGGCCAGTAGTGATCCGATTTCCGATACGCAGCACGGCAGCTTAGAGAGCTGCATGCAGCTGGTAAGTCTCTTGTGGTGGAAGGGGAGGTGGGAGGGAAGGGGCCTGTGGTGAGGGAGGGAGTAGGGCTGGGGCTGAGGCTGGGGTAGGAGCTGGGGCAGGCGCTGCCCAGGCAGCGCGAGGAGGGGCACAGGTTGGAGCCGCAGCTTGTCTGGGGGTGAAGGAGGGGCGTGGCTCCCAACGCTGCATGCACCCCGTGAGGACACGGGGGTGGAGGGGGCATGTGCCTCCTGGATCTGCATGGGGTGGGCTGGGGCCAGGGTGGTGCTGGGCTCTTCCTGGAAGGGGGGCTGGGCTGAGCTGTGCTCAGGGCAGGTGATGGCAGAGCTGGGAACAGCTATATGTGGGGCTGCAGCCACCCCAAAATTTGCCATAGCTCCCTCCACCCCCCTCCCAGTGCTGCCGCTGCCCACCCTGAGTGCAGCCCAGGCCAGCCCCCTCCAGAAACAGCCTGGCGCAGCCCCAGCCTCAGCCCACAGTTGCCAGGAGGCTTTGCTCCTCGCCACCTACAAGCTGCGCTGCAGCTGCACTGCCGCTGCGCAGATGCACAGGGCATTTATCAGCCACATTGTCAGCCACATCAGGCCAATTTCCAATACAGACAACTTTCTTTATATCAGTGTCAATCTGATATCGAACCAATGTATCGGTGCACCTCTACTTATTTACTACGTGATTAACTTTTTACTAATGATTTATCAAGCCAGTTTTGTAAGGAACTTAGAATTCAAATAAAAATGCAGAAAACCAGTATTTTAAAATGCATTTTAAACATACTTGAAAATATGTTAAAATACTGTAATATTTTAAAATATGTAAATACTTGTAAAAGTATTTAAATATTTGTGTTGTATATTTAAAGTTAATATGCTATACACATAAGTACATATTTTAAAATATTTGTTTGTTTTTTTAAATAAAGGAGGATGTTTAGTTTTTCCCATGCTTCTGGGCCCTGCTGGTTACCTTATGGGGCCAGGAAAAAAATGTTCCCCTCCTATTGCTTCAGGTAACAAGGGATATTTTCACCTTTCTCAGAAGCATTGGGTGTTGCCTGCAGCCAAGGCTGGGGATTTTGACCAGGTGCATCAATCCTCCTGCTAGAACTAAAACCCAGAGGTTCCAGGTTGGAGGGTCTTGTCCCAACTGCTCAGGCTCAGACCAATCGCCACATTTGGGATCAGGAAGGAATTTTACCACCTGGTCAAATCTGTACAGACTGTGTGATTTTGCTTTCCTCCATTGTTGGGGACACAACCGTCATCCTTGGATCTCTTGAACACATTTTAACAACACTTACAACAGCAAGACACTGATTGCCATTGCCCCCTCGCTTTACCTGTGGCTGGTTAGGGTGTTTTTAGTGCCCTTGGGCAATATGCCTTGTCGTTGTGCAAGAGCACTGACTGTAGTTTTAGGAGTAGGTTAAACAAGGATTTGTGTAATATGGTTTGGATAGGGGTAATCGTGCCTCATAGCTGGGCTAGATGATCTCTGAAGGTCCCTTTCACCTGAATTTTCTATGATTCTATGAAAATATTTTTATTAGCTATAATTTGCTTGACTTCCTCAAAGCATTGGCAACAAACACATGCTGCTTTTTATTATACATTTTAAAAATTTAAATGATTACAATCAATTATAATATATCTAGGGTTTTATATAGATAATTATTTCACAATTTTGAGACAGAAAATATCTTTAAATTCAAGAAAACTGATTTTTTTTAATAATCTCTTGATAACCCTGGTAATTAGCATAGTTATTAATAATCTTAGGCTATGGATAGAGATACATGATAAGCATTCCAAATTCTACTCCAGTTTGGAGCACTTAACATTTAGAGCATTTCAGGCTATGAACAGATGTACAGCACTCCACAGTGCCTTGCCCCCACCAGCTACCAGTGTTTTAAAATCACTGCAATGGCATGCATAAGCATGCTCTCCAGCTAGACGGTATGACAAGGGGGTGCACACAGGGAGTGGGGGAAGGGGGTAAGAGTGGGGAGCTATCAATGAATGCTCTTTTGTGCACTCTGCTTCAGGTCTCCCAGACTACCTCCTTTCCCCCAGCTGGTCTGGGAGACCAAATGTTGACAGGCACACAGAAATTAATGCTCTCCAGCCCCCAACCCTTGCATATCTGTATGTTCTCCCATTTCCAGCAGGGATGGGGAGTATGTGGGAGCATGGATCCTGCAGTTGCTGGGTTCTGACAGTGGAGTACTCCAGAAGACCAGAGCTAGAGGTGAAGAGGCACACAGTGATTCTTGCTTTCCAGCCCAGACTACAGCTGAACACATAGGAGAGCACCTGTTGACTGTATTCTCTTTTCTTCCGGAAGAAGGGGAGTGGGAGGGAGAATGAAGATCTGTGGGTTGCTAGAGAACCAAGACACCCACTGATGCACTCAGAGTGGAAAGACATACAGGAAGTTCTTCAAAATGAAATGCTTCCAAAATACTCACTATTTTCTTCAGGTCTATTTTTTGGAGTGCTTCAGCATTTCAAAAGGTGTGAGCATTTGTCCACTGGCCCTCTGAAGTACTTCAAATGGTACATCTGTGCATGGTCTTACTTTACTGTCAAGTTCATCTAATAGTCTGGATAGTCCATGATTCACTCTGAACTGAAGCCAAGTTATTCTAGCCAAGTCAAATAGTCAGGCGATTAAAGCGACAAACTAGTGGCTACTTAAGTCAGGGGTGAGCATGCCTACAGGTCTGCTTTGCCTGTTGAGACCTATCTGTATTTTTCATGCTCTAAATAAATTGCCTTTACCTGGTGGACTCCCGTGCCCTGCTGCAGCTGTAGCAATAGCAAAAGCAGAAGCAGGAGAAACAGAGCAGTGGCTGTTATCAGCAGTCTGTACTGTAAAGGGAACAGACAAATAAAGGTCAACAGCGTGTATTTGGTTTTATTTTTTTTCAAAACATTTCAAAGCTTACACTTTACCATTCATTTAACTCTTATAGTAACAACAAATACTCAAGCACTTCACGCAAGTATTCCTACTTAGTGTATATTTTATACAGACAAGGGATTCTGTACTAGAAAGCAAAAAAAGTTAGAAAGACATTTCTGGCTTGGTTTTATCCCCAGATCACATTAATAAATGTTGCAGTTTAGAAAACTATGATGGCGTCACAGTGAATAATAAGGACTGACTGAACAAAAGATGAAAATGATAGTAAAACTACTTAAAAATAAATCATGCAAATCATTTTTAATACTCAGCTTAAGCTAAAAAAGTCATGTTGAGGTTAACCAAACTATGGGACTACTTACATGGGTAACTTCTTATAGACTGGGACCCAAAATGTTCAGGATTCAATATGGGTACATTTTGAACAAGATTTCACACTTTCGCCTGATTGTTACATAAAATTAGCAGAGCTTTGCAAAACTTACTGATGTTGCTCTGTAGGGAATTCTGCAAACCATTCTTCAACTTCCACTAATGATTTTGCTTTGCATTTCCTAATTTTTTAACCTACACTCCTTCATACATACTCATCAGAGCCAAGAATAAAGAGTTTGGTTGGTTTAAAATTACCCAAAAATATTTCTATAATATATTAGTGATTATTTAGGAAGGTTGCATTTGTGTTACTTTAAAACAACATGAAATAAATTGTTTGAAATCTGGATTTAATGAGGGAGTCATCTTTAAAACATTTACAGGACATGGCTAATGGTTCTCTTAGCAATTTGAAGGAACCATCAGAGAACTATTTAGCAATATCCACCTCTCACTTTTTTCTTTTCAATTAAGCAATTTTCTCACATGCTAATGAATAATCTGACACTATATCTATAAACATACACTGCCACACATGAATAAATATAGTTTTTTCCCTTTAACAGTAAGGGATGCTGTGCATCTCATGATTACATCCCGTACCTAAAATGTACCCCAGAGTAGCTCACAAAACCTATTAAGGTCTTTTAAAAATAAGATGGAGTCAATATTAATCATGAAATAAGATACACCCTGTTCTGCATAGTGTAGACCATTTCAGCATATCCCAGCTCCCAATATGCTTTTCATTCTTCTGTTATTAGTATCATCATTATCTACGGTAGCAACATTCATATTCTGATGGCTTTTTATAGCTGAAGAATAAGCAAAAACACAAAACTAAAGACATTATTTAGACAATAATTCTTTTTTAATATCCTACAAAAGCTACAGAAACAAAATTGAGTCTCTTTCTTACCCCCTGGTTGCCAGTAGCGGAGATGTCGTGGAGTTGAGGGAGATCTGCATGGGGATAGCTCAGGTGTATCCACTGCTGAGGTGCTTTCAGGAATGGTTCTGTCCACTGAAACAGACTCCAGAACTGCTGCTTTAAAACAGCAACGGATATTAGTACAGAGGTGATTTATTTTCCATAATTTGTTGCCCATTTAAAGTGAAAACATTTTTTTAAATGTCTAGAAATCTAGGGAGCAGTACAATAAATGGCTTTAGGAAATGAAGCTATTTCTTATTTTTCAATAAAATAGCCTCTTTTTTAAAGGTGAGTTTATGATGAGTAGGTCATTTCTGAGAGATAAATGGTTTATGAGGTACATAGAAGAAGCTGGTATCACAGCTTCACTCAATTTAGGGACAGAACAGAAAATATCAAGGTTATAGATAAATTAGTGTAAGCATATACTATTATAATCACAATAAAATGTGTGACAGGCGTGTACTGCCCCCTTTGAAGTTAACAAATATTTAGTGGCAGGAAGATCATTAAAGAGTATGTTATGCTAGTATATTTTACAGTTTTAAACTAATTCCAACAAACCCCACTTAACAGCTGTGAACATTAAAATACATTCTCTTTATATTTTGTTCTATGCTATTCTGAAAGTTGTCAGAACTACTTATTAAATAAAACTCAGAAACAATTATCCTATAGATGGAGGTAAATGTACAGATGTTACATTTGTAGCGCTAAATATGCCCTTGTACTGCTATAAAAAGCAAGCACTGAAAAATGGATGAAAGGACTACAGTCTGTTACCTCTTTCAAGGAGGAACTTCTTGGTAGTGCTACATTTTGTAGTGCAATGTGTAATACCTGTAGTGTTACATGTAGTGCTATAGGGGTCTCTACGACACTCTAGCTCAGGGGTTTTCAACCTTTTAAAATAAATGTACCCCCGGTGGCCAGATGTGGAGTGGAGGGGGGGAGCAGCGTCCATGTGTGAGCTCCCCACAACCCTGTCCAGCCAGCCAGGCAGTGCCTGTGCGGCCTGCAGAGGGGTGTCACTGCACTCGCCCTGCCTCAGCCCTGCTCCTGGGAGACAGTGGTATGGGGTGGCAGGTGGCAGCGCTCCATCCCCACCTGCCCATGCATACCCGCTAGGGCCTTCCCAAGTACCCCTGCTCTAGCTTCTCACAGCCCTCTGCTTACCTTCTGCCCCTCAAAGGGGGAAGGAGGGTGGGAGGTAGAGTTGCTGGTTCCCTGATAGCTTGCCCTGCCGGGATCCTGTTACAGCCACTGCTTCAAAAACCCACTGCAAGAGCTGCCAGCTGATCACTGACAACCTGTCTCCTTCCTCTACAAGGGAAGGCTGTCAGTGATCAGGCTCTCCTGGGGGAGGAGGTTCCAAGACGCATCCCCTTTTCACCTCTTGGTCGGAAAGCACAGAGCTCTACATTTTTAGAGTTTTACAAATGCTCCCTCCAGACATTACATTTGTCCCCAGATATATACAAGTGTCCTGAAACAAACGGTAACACACCAGACATTAAAGGAATTTATCCCAGGATAAAAATGACCGATCCACCACAAAAACAGTCTGGCCAGGTAGAGAAACCCCTACAATCCCCTAGTACTCTGCTCTCCCTACTTATACTCTCTGCTCTCCCTGATGGCAGTTCACTCTATATAGTTCACCAATGTGCCCAGTTCGCAGGCTACACACGCTTTAGTTAAAGGTCCTGGCACATGCACAGGTTGGGAGCCAAGCACACCACTGGCCAGTGTGCTGCAGTCCCGAGCATGGACATGCTGGTAAAGGTTGTGACGTGCCTGCAGCCCCAGAGTCCAGACTGGCTGGTGATCTGGCTCTCAGCTGCAGGCATTCCTAGTAAAGGTCCCAGACTGCCTGCTACACAGGAATCAGGTTGCCAGTCAGTGATGATCCTGACCCCTGAGCTGCAGGTATGGGATACTTTACAGGGTGAGAGGTCTCTCTGCAAGCAACTAAAGAGGCTAAGGGGGGAGGCTTGTGCCTAGGAACTTTAAAGGGCTCCTGGGCAGCCCAAAACTAGCTGCAGCTGGCTTTTGGGCTACTGACTCACTGACAGGTTCTCAGGAGGATGCGAAAGCCCTGTTACCCCTAGCAGGATAGCATGCTTTTGTGGGACTCCACCCAGGGGGCTTGGAACATGTGGCTGCTCACAGCACTTTATTTTTAGCAGTGTAAGAAACTTTGGAGCACTAAAGACAATCTGGAAAGCACCTGGAGACAATCTTTATAGAGCTATAAATGAACTCCTGTCCATAACCTGAGAAAACAAGTAGGCTACTTCACAGGCACCCATGAAAAAATTGCAGCAAAATTCACAAATAAATAACACAATACAAACCAACAAGTGCTAAATTCTCACTTTGAAAATAGCTTCATCATGATTTTGCAGCACCTCAGAATAAGCAGTGGAATGAACGCAAATGTGTTCTCGATACTTTAAATAAAAGGATCAATGTGTCAAGTAAAGAAGAGAGAGTCCTTTTTAAGCCATTCCATGCAATGACAAAAAATAGCTAATATAAATGAAGCAGAGCAGATTTAAGGAGTAGTTTTGTTAAGAAGAATTCTAAATGAACAGCCATAATTATAAGTTGGCAGAATGGCTTATCCAAATGAGGGTGGATGGGTGGGGAGTAAATTTATCAATTATAACTTACATTAAATTTGAAAAAGTGCGCCTCCTGCAATGAGAATACTTAAATACAAGTTTTAAAATGACAGTATCAACAGCAGCTTGCAGAAATACAGAAAAAAAATTTGGAAATTCAAGGAATTCCCTTTTAGATAAAATAGGGACCACACTCAAGAAAAGGAGGTAACCTGCCAACACAAAACCAAAATCATGGAAATTGTACAGCCATAGTGGACACAGATAAAGCCTATTTCCCTACTTGACATTTGGCAGAAGATGAGTAAAAAAGCTAACTGACACTAGGTAACTAGCGATTACTTGTTATTAAAAATAAGTTTGTACATTAAGGAAATAATAAGTAGCACATCGTATGCCCACTGCTACCCATCCCTTCACAGAAGCAGGGGTTTCCGTAGTCCATTCCCCTTCCTTTAAACTCCTATGATAAAACAACGTTCATCCCCCCATGCCCATAGGGAATGGGGATCATTGCAAAATAGCAGTATAATGTGAGGCTCTTTCTATTTCCAGTGTTTCATAGTTTCATAGTTGGTAGGGTCGGAAGGGACCTAAGCAGATCATCTAGTCTGACCTCCTGCCATGGGCAGGAAAGGATGCTCGGGTCAAATGACCCCAGCTAGGTGGCTGCCTAGCCTCCTTTTAAAGACCCCCAGGGTAGGGGCAAGCACCACTTCTCTTGGAAGTTGGTT